GTTAACAATAATCTGGACAAGAGTCATGGTGCATACAACAGTGGTAGTGGTAATCAAGAGCAAAGGAACATAGGAAGGATAATGAGAGGTAGAATTCAAATGCTTTGGAACTTGATTTGCTTCTGGAGTGAGATGGAGAATGAGTCATACTTACACAAGGTTTAGGTAACTAAGTAAATGATACACAGTTTCAGAAACTGATACCACCAGCAGATGGAGAAGGACTGGCTGGAAAAAGAATCTGTGAATGTGAAATATCATCGATATTTAAAGGACTTCTGACTGAATATACAGATCTGACATTCAGGAAAGTGATTAAACTCATAGCTAGAGAATATTTTGTGTCCCTAGCAAATAAAAGATACATGAAGCCATCAACTTTTTTTCCTAAAGAAATACACTTATCTATGTACAAAAATCTAAAAATCATCAATAGAATTTCGAATCCTGCAAAAGAAACTTGGAAGAAGAAACCAAAAATGAAAAAGGTAAATAAGAAAGACAAGATGTTACAAAATCCACTGGATAAAGATTCCTTCTAGGACAAAGAACAGTATGATACAAGAGACTCAAGGGGTACAATAGATAAGGTAAGAGTCAATAAAGGTCTTATGGATTTCCCATAGAACTGTCACTGAGGACCTCACTGAGAGCAGTTCCTATGGAAGGTTGGCATAGAAGCCAGGATGTGATGATTGGGGAACGAGAAGATAAATGATCCTAAAATCATGCAAGATTATTACAGGGTAACCTTGCATTTATAACCATTTCTTTGTTTTTGTTTTAATAGAAGAAACATGTATCAATGGGGAAGGGAAAAGAGAAGAGCAAAATCAAAGTTCAGGAGAGGAAATGGTTTTAATGAGAAGATGGCTACAGAAGCAAGGTTCTTGAAAGATCTGGAGCTTAGAAGGTAAGAATGTTCTCATATTTGAGTATGTAATTACACTCTGAAGCTAGAGGCAAGATCATATCTAAGAGCGGAGGTACTAATGGTTGGATTAGACCAGTGATTCTCAACTGGAGGGTGACTTTGCCCCTCTCCAGGCAACCTTTAGTCATGTCTGGGAACATTTTGTTTGCTACAATCAGGGGGTGTAATGCTGTCATCTCGTGGGTAGAAGACAGGTATGCTGCTAAACTGTACAAGGTATAGGAAAGTTCCTCACAATATATAGTCCAAAATGCCGATAGTGCTGACATTAAGAAACCTGGGTTAGACATTTAAGGAGAGAGGAAGAAGTTTAAAATATCCACTGAGGAGAACAGGGAGCTGATGATGGAACCATGGTACACTTACTTTACAATATTCTGTGCTCACTACAGAATGAAAACCATAATTTTTAAATGACAATAATCTGCACTGCTGCGTAATTTTCTCCAGCAATATTAAGATGCAATATATGCTCAGAGAAGTGAAAAGTTAAACTGACATGAACAAGGTTTTACAAAACAGGTCTTAATAGAAGGACAAGAGAATCAGAGATACTGATAAAAGAGCCATGATCCACTAAAGCGAAGGATCATGGTATCCAAGGAAAGAAATGATGAAACGAAAGGTAGCTGAAGGAGAGCAGACAGCAGCTTTGAGCTTCCTATGAAAGTTTAATATGTGCATTGAGAGTAATTGAGCAAAAGTAAAGAGAGATAAAGCACTGCAGCCAGAAGTTAAGAAACAGCCTTAGTATTTGCTTTTCAGCACAGCTAGGAAGATGGCAACTCATATCCATGTGAGACCCAACAGGTAGACAGATGAAGAGCACTGAAAATAACAGACACTGGAAATGAGGATGATAGGACCTGAGAAGCTAGGGTGACGGGAAAAAAAAATCACACGGCGCCAGTTATACACTATTGTGTGTGTACCTAATTTCATGTCATATCTTTATTTAAACAATGATTCAAAAAGATACATGGACCCCAATGTTCACTGAAGCACTATATAGGATAGCCAGGACAGGAGAGAAACCTAAATGTCCACCGAAGGAAGAATGGATGAAAAAGATGTGGTACATACAGAAAACAGAATATTACTCAGCCATAAATAATAAAATAATACCATTTGCAATGATATGGATGGGCCTAGAGATTGTTACACTGAGTGAAGTAAGTCAGATACATAAAGACAAGCATCATATGACATCACTCATATGTGGAATCGAAAAGGAAAAGTGCTACAAATGATCTTAACAAAACGGAAATGAGTTACAGATATATCAAACGAACACAAGGTTACCAGTGGGGAAAGTGGGGTACAGATAAATTGGGAGATTGGAATTGACTATACATACTATTAAAAAAAAAAATTGCTAAGTCGTGTCCGACTCTTGCAATCCCATGAACTGTAGCCTGCCAGGCTCCTCTGTTCATGGGATTCTCCAGGCAAGAATACTGGAGTGGGTTGCTATTTCCTTCTCCAGGGGAACTTCCTGACCCAGGAATTGAGCCCAGGTCTCTCCCATATTGCAGGCAGATGCTTTACTGACTGAGCTACACAGGAAGCCCCACCATAAATAAAACAGATAACCAATGAGGACCTACTGGATAGCATAGGGAACTCTACTCAATAATCTGTAATGACTTATATGAGAAAAGAATCTTAAAAAGAATGGACATACATACATGTATAACTGATCTACTTTGCTGTCCAGCAGAAACACAACATTGTAAATCAACCATACACCAATAAAAATTAAAACGACAAGTGATGAATAAACAGAAACTTGTTAGAACAGAGCTGGGAGACCAGAAGGGGGAGCTCTCACAACCTGCTACTACAGTTTGTTCTACAGGCGCAAACACTCATCCTTCCTGGAGAAGACTCAGCAAATGGAAAACCATGGGCTGTCTGTTCACTCTAGCCCTCCCAACTTCCTTTTCCCTTCTATAAAATTGTTCTTCCCTTGCTATGGGGGTACTTGCATGTGGCTTGTCATGGTTGCAGACCACAAATTTCACTTCTGTGTTTACCCCAAAGAAACCTATCTTTGCTGAAGAAAGATATGGCAGTCTGTTTTAGGTCAACAATTACCAACCATATACAGGAAAAGCAGGAACAAAAAGAGACTACCACAACAATTTTTAACAAAAAGGACTCTTTGTAGTATCTAACACTGAGAAGATCAAGGGATAAGTCACATAGGATCCAACAGCTGGGTGCTCAACAAGAGTGTTGAACCCATTTTTAGAACCCACCTTTCTAAACCAAGGGTTGATAGCCAAAGTTCCAGTCACAGTCTTTCAGGGTCCCATCCTACTGGTTTTTGCATTGCGTGGGTAAAGTATGAATAAAATTGTCTAAGAGTAGAAGACATTTTCAGGCAAAATGTTGCCAGTGTCCAAACTCTTGCCTCAGAAGGTCTGACAATGGGAAGTTATCTACACTTAAATATCCCCCAGTACACAGCAATGAAATTAGGGCACAGAACCTAGAAACCGATTCTCAGCAGTAAACTCAAGACACAAAACAAAGAACAAGGTGCTAAAATTTCTAGCAACAGAAGTAGAATACCTAGAGTCTACAGATAGAAGCAATATGGAAAAGAAGAATGTAGTATATAACCTTCAAACTCAAGAGAAAGCCGAGATAGCTGCCATTTTTTTTTTTCAGCTTTAGATTGTTGCTCCAAATGCCACCAGTAGAATTTAGCACTGATTGCCATCAAAACCACTGAGGGGAGCTTGTTAAAAACTGACATTCTGGAACTTATCCCAGATGATTCACTCAATGTTTACACATTTCAGGAATCTATGTATTTAGCAGTTCATGGATTTAATACAGGATTGAAATTTGGAAACCAGTAGTATTTACTACTTGGACACATAGTCAATGAACATGAAATTGGGCAAACTCTGGGATATAGTGAGGGACAGGGAGCCCTGGCATGCTGTAGTCCATAAAGTCTCAAAGAGTCGGACAGGACTTAATGACTCAACAAAAACAAGGATTTACTACTTAATACTGTCACACCATCTCAACTCATCATTGTTAAGTCTATTTTAGTCCCTATTCATTGAAAACTTATGATATGGCAGATGCTTTTCTAAGTGCATTAAAATACAATTTTAAAGTTCAACTGCCCCAACAACTTTACAATGAAGATATCATTAACATTTTCACTTAAAGGTAAGAAAATTAGGCAATACAACAGATATCTGAGCACCAGCAGCCTGATATCAGAGTCTGTTCTCTTTACAGTTATCATGATAAAACTATCCTAATAAAATAAACTTGTTCCTTTTACTTTCAACTAGAATTATGTATGTTATTAAAAAGTCATCATATATTGACCATTAACCTGGGCAGTTACACAATTTAACGAAAACAAGAAAATTGTTGAAAACTAAATACAATCAGTTTGGCAAGCAAAACATATCAAAATGCAAGACCATAAAAATAATGGATGTCCTTAGGGGTAAAAGTAGTACATAATTCCTATACACCTCCTCACACCCACTACTACTTCCGCATTTCCTTAACTCTAATATTAAATATGAGGTTAACTTGGACATTGACCAGTTCAGAAAAAGGTGGCAGCAAGAAATAAACATTCACCTCTCCAGTACCATAATTACCCTGTCTTTTGCAAATCTGTCTCTTTTTTTTCTCTCAATCTATTTTCTTCATGTTTTCAGTGAATTTTAGTTAAGTACATAGAATGCACTAGACACTGTGGCTCTCAGGACACAGTGTCAGGCTCACAGGGGCCCGAGTGTACCAGGGCTGGGGGGTTTTCTAAAGAAGTCACACTGACTCTAAATTTTAAAGGAGAAATAGAACTGAGAGGATGAAGTTAGGGAGGAAGACCAGAAGAGAGCAGATGAAAGGAATGGACTGTATGTCAAGTCAAAAGTGTAGGAAAAACAAATAATTTTGTTAAAGTGAAATACGAAAATCAGCTTGAAAGCATTTTCATGCCTTCTAAAAGAAGCCATCTTTGTACAATTAAAGTATGTGGCAACCTAATATCATTTATCAAACTAGATCTTTGAATACTTACATTTAATTCAGTTTTTAGCATTTCTTCAAGATAACGACCTACATGTTCTTCATCTTCTTTTGTGTCCATAATTATACAAACTTGTTGTGAAATTCTTTCTGAAATACAAAAGAGATGAAATTTTAGGCTTCAAATAGATCAGGAAACAAAGCCCTAGTACACTGAAGCCTATCCCGGCTGTTCATAACAACTAATAGGGAGCTGCAGGCTCTGGGCCAAGTGCAGTAACCTGAACTACAGAGGGACATTCTTGACTCACTGACCAACCAAGCCAGTAAATCTATGCATTTAACATTTTGTGGGTGGATAACTGGGACATCATGTAAGCAACAGAAATAAGAGATCTTCAGAAACATCTGAAGAGAGTAACTGGAAGTGACAGTTATTTTGCTCAAGACTTCAATCCTTCTGCATTTACAAGGAATCCCCCAGGATCTGATAGAACCCCTTCTCTCAAGCAGATCCTCTCTTTCAGTTCAGTGATACCACCAACCATCTCATCCTCTGTCGTCCGCTTCTCTTCCTGCCCTCAATCTTTCCCAGCATCAGGGTATTTTCAAATGAGTCAGCTCTTCGCATGAGGTAGCCAAAGTATTGGAATTTCAGCTTCAGCATCAGTCCTTCCAATGAACACCCAGGACTGATCTCCTTTACGATGGACTGGTTGGATCTCCTTGCAGTCCAAGGGATTCTCAAGAGTCTCCTCCTCCACAGATCAAAAGCATCAATTCTTCAGTGCTCAGCTTTCTTTATAGTCCAATTCTCACATCTGTACATAAATACTAGAAAACCATAGCCTTGACCAGATGGACCTTTGTTGGCAAAGTAATGTCTCTGCTTTTTAATATGCTGTCCAAGTTGATCATAACATTCCTTCCAAGGAGTAAGCGTCTTTTAATTTCATGGCTGCAGTCACCATCTCCAGTGATTCTGGAGCCCCAAAAAATAAAGTCTGACACTGTTTCCACTGTCTCCCCATCTATTTGCCATGAAGTGATGGGACAAGATGCCAGCATCTTAGTTTCCCGAATGTTGAGCTTTAAGCCAACTTTTTCACTCTCCTCTTTCATCAAGAGGCTTTTAGTTTCTCTTCACTTTCTGCCATAAGGGTGGTGTCATCTGCATATCTGAGGTTATTGATATTTCTCCTGGCAATCTTGATTCCAGCTTGTACTTCATCCAGCCCAGAGTTTCTCATGATGTATTCTGCATATAGTTAAATAAGCAGGGTGACAATATACAGCCTTGATGTACTCCTTTTCCTATCTGGAACCACTCTGTTGTTCCATGTCCAGTTCTAACTGTTGCTTCCTGACCTGCATACAGGTTTCTCAAGAGGTAGGTCAGGTGGTCTGGTATTCCCATCTCTTTAAGAACTTTCCACAGTTTATTGTGATCCACACAGTCAAAGTCTTTGGCATAGTCAATGAAGCAGAAGCAGATGTTTTTCTGGAACTCTCTTGCTTTTTCAGTGATCCAAAAGATGTTGGCAATTTGATCTCTGGTTCCTCTGCCTTTTCTAACACCAGCTTGAATATCTGGAAGTTCACGGTTCACATATTGCTGAAGCCTGGCTTAGAGAATTTTGAGTATTACTTTACTAGCGTGTAAGATGAGTGCAATTCTGCGGTAGTTTGAGCATTCCTGGGGATTGCCTTTCTTAGGGATTGGAATGAAAACTGACCTTTTCCAGTCCTGTACCCACTGCTGAGTTTTCCATATCTGCTGACATATTGAGTGCAGCACTTTCACAGCATCATCTTCTAGGATTTGAAAGAGCTCAACTGGAATCCCATCACCTCTACTAGCTTTGTTTGTAGAGATGCTTCCTAAAGATCCTCTCTTTAGGCCATCAGATATCTCCTGCATACAGTTCACTGTGCCATCTGATACCTTGATGACACACAGCATTTTCCTTGCCACTCCTTTAGGTTCAGACAATTCAATTAAAGTCCTGCCTGTTAAACTATTATCACAAGTTAAAATAGCCAAAAATAATTATTCTCCAAATTTAGAAGGCTTGAAATGATATAATTTAAAATCATAAGCTGTATGACATAGAGATAGTCACCTTGGTAAACCCTGGATACACTCTCACAAAATATGCACAGTCCTCCTTTATAGCAGATATAAAATACAAGAAAAGGCTATATTACTACCAATTTAAGAAAATATTTCATGGTATTATGTCAAGGACTTTTTAAAATAAAAAAGCCTAATTTTAAACAGGAGTCCCAAGTCAAAGTAGGTTTAACACTTGACGCAGCTGCTTCTTACACTGGTAACTCCATATAACAGGCTTTCTATAAATACTGTTCTAGCAATAGCTAATGATTCATCCAAACAAAGCTGAGAATGACAAACCATTTAAAATAATGTCACCAGTTAATGGTATTCCTGTAACTATCCACTTCCCACTTATCAAGAGTATTATATGTTCCAACAGTCATACCCTATATTCACATCAATTCTCATGATGATCATGCAAACAGTATTATTGTGAATCTATGCAACAGATTAAGGAAACTTTACTTCAGAGAAACAAAGTAACTTGCCCAAAATCACAGGATTATGATTAGAAAAAAAAGAATCCAAATCCAAAAAAATTAAGCACACAAATACACAGCTATTCTACAGCACTAAAATGAAAAGAAAGAGTTATCTGACATTAACTGAACATCAAGGATTTTGCTATGAAAGTTCCTAATGTTTCACAGTCATTATCCCATTTAATGGCTCAAAATAAATATGCATTATTAGCTAAGTATTATAATTCCTGTTTTTACTCATCACAAGGTACTTAAACCCAGGTCTTTCCAAAGCTTGTGTTTTTTCTATCATGCTGTCTACCTTATAATAATTACTGTAAAATAATGTGAAACATTCTTTTACATTCACTCTTTTACATCCTACAAATTCAACAAAACTAATACAGGCACAAATAGATTGTGAGGATACTTCTATACTGAAAATGGACCTGCTATAATTATAATATCTTAAAATCATTTCATCCTTTTAGGACTGTGTTCAACCATCAGTAAGGCTCCTAACAAGTTGAAAATGTCTATACTTTTAAGTTACATGAGCCAAGACATGGAAGCAACCTAAACATCCATCAACAGAGGAATGGATAAAGAAGATGTGGTACATATACACAATGGAATATTACTCAACCATTAAAAAGAATGAAATAAAGTCATTTGCAGCAATGGTGAATAGACCTATGGATTGTCATAATGAGTGAAGAAAGTCAGACAGAAAAGGAGAAATATTGTTTGACATCCCTTATATGTGGTATCTAAAAAAAAAATGACACAAATAAACTTATTTACAAAACAGAAACAGACTCACAGACTTACAGAACAAATTTACAATTGCTGGGGGGATGGAGGGAAGGAATAGTTAGGGAGTTTGGGATGGACACATATACACGGCTATATTTAAAATGGATCGCCAACAAGGACTTACTGTATGGCACATGGAACTGTGTTCAATGTAATGTGGCAGCCTGGAAGAGAGTAGAGTTTGGGGGAGAATTGGATACCTGTGTATGTATGGCTGAGTTCCTTCACTGTTCACTTGAATCACAACATTGTTAGTCAGTTGTATCCCAACACAAAATGAAAATTTTTAAATACAGGAGCCTAATTAAATATAATTAATAACACAAATGAACGGTCCAGATAATAAGTACTACGGAACATCACTGTGATTAGAAACATACACTGGTTGACAATATTAGATAATTCTTTACACTAACATGAGCTAGGAGTTCACTCTTGAAAGGTGAGTAAGCTTTGCTTAGTGGAAGCAAGGGGCTTTGAAAGCTATGAAGGGAAACAAGATTTTTTTAAAAACTTAATGTTTTGGGGGGTAGAAAGAGTATAAGCATGAAGTTACTGTGATAAGATACAAGATTTTGATAAGATACAACAAGCACTCAAAAAAAACATGGAATGATTCAGCAATGAACGCTGTGAAGCCAGAATGTAACGGTTGCATGCTGTCCTGAACACCTGAGTGTCCTGAAAACTTCCGATCAGAAGGTTATAGTTATTGCTTGTAACTATAATATAAGCAATAGCTTTTGAAAACCAAGTTAATTCAAAAGTGTGTTATATTCTCTCAAATATTTGGAGACATACTTGGACTTTATAACATCCTAGTAAATGTCCAGTTACACTTCCAAATGTTTCTCTCACATACCAAAAAATTATAAAAAAAATGTAATGTGTAAGCATCAAGTAATTCACTGCATACACAATGAATATGATGGCACCACAATAATTCTTACTAATTTATAAAATAATGCATAAACAATACTTTTTAAAACAAAACACAACATATGCAGATATCCCTTCTTTGTTGCATCATATATCCTTTACCAAATTCCAAGCTCTATCAAGTGTAAATCAACAACAAATTAAAATTGACATTATCTCCCTTCAAAAATGAAGTACAGTTAGCCCTTGAACATGGATTTTATCTGCAAAGGACCCACTTATACACAGTTTTTCAGTAGAAAATAGTACATTCTTAGTACAGTGCTATATAATCCACAGTTGGTTGAACCCACAGACAAGGAGGACCAACTGTAAACTACATGTGGGTTTTCAGTTTTGTGGAGGGTCAGTGCCTCTAGTACCCATGCTGTCCAAAGATCAACTGTATAAATAAAATGGAGTAATTCAAAATCTATGATATTAATTTTATGCCATGTGTCAGCTGTTCTAAAAAGAAAGCTTTTTGGTTGGGGGGAGGGAATCTTTGCAATAAATTTTACAATAAATTTGCTCAAAATCACCTGCTTTTTAGACAAAAATGACACCTTTAAAATATCAAGGTTTTCAATTATTAATATGATAAATTTCTCTATTTATTAATACCTTCCTAAATTTTTCTCAAAGCTTTATAATCTCCAGTACAGAGTCCTTTCGTAATTTTTGCTAAATATCTAAGCAACTTTGTTGATACTATTGCAAATAATCTTTTACTATATTTTCTCTTTGTTGATATACAAAAATATATTAAGATTTTTATAGTTTTTGCATTCAGTAACTGTGCTAAATTCACTTATAAATTCTAAGAGTTTACAACT